GGGAGACCCCAGACGTAGACCTCAGTAGTGGGATGCTTCCTGGGATCGCTACACAACATGATCAGGTGTTGCGCCACCTGCCAGGCTCTCAGCGCAAGCAAAGCACTGTGCTGCTCTTTCCCCTTGGACAGCGGGACCTGATTTCCCAAGCCTTCAGCTGCCCACGATAGCTCCTGATGGAAGGCCATCAAGACCCAAACCCCCCTAAAACCCTAAACCCTAAACCTCATGACTTCAGCCGCTGATCCATAAGGCCAGCAGCGGACCCGCCCCGGTTGGAAAGGCATCGGCAACTGGGGGAAGTTCTTGGTTCACCGCGCTTCCTTATTATAAATAAAATATTCTGGGGCTCCTTAATATACTTGTTTTCATTGAAAACGCTTCCGCATTGTAAATAAAATATTTTGGGGCTCCTTATTATACTTGTAGTGTAAAACACCCTGAGGTCAGGGCTGGGGGTTCAGGATGTTCCGGCCGGTGCTCGAGGCTTTTCAAGCAGGAGCCAGCTATCTACCGTTTTTCGAATTGCACCGTAAGCGATTCCAACCTGAAGTCCCAAAACATACTTGTATGAGATCCTGACAGGGGCTCAGGGTTTAGGGTTTAGAGTTCGGGTGAACCCTGAACTTGGCAAACGCCCGAAGAGGAGTCAAGCCGAAAGGATCTTGAATTCCGGCAGCCTCTTACAGAGCCCTGCGGACTTGGTAGGGCGTCTCAAGCCCTGCAGACCCCACACCCCAGATTCACATCGCTGATGCCCCGAAACCTTGGGAGTCTCGAAGCCCTGAACCCACCAGCCTCAAGAAAAAGAAGCAACCTGAAGCGTTTAGGGTTTAGGGTTCAGCGCCGTGGGCCCATTACCTTCAAAGCTGATCCCTGAGGTGGAGGGAGCTCCTGCCGCTTCTCCATCCCTGACCCCAAGAACTGCCTGACACCCGATTTTTGTGGGTTAGGGCTTAGGGTTTGGTGCTTTAGGGTTTTCGGGTTTTACGGGTTTTGAGGTTTAGAGCTTTGGGATCAGAGTTTAGGGTGTGCGGGCTCCTTTCAATAGTTGCTCGGTGAGTATGTGTGCCTGTGTATGTGTATGTGTGTATAATATATGTGTATGTAGATATATATATATATATATACACATTGTATATATTATTTATAAGATCATCCAGGGAACCTCGATACCCCGAACCCGAAGATCCAGAACTTCAGATCCTCGAGACCCCAGCCCTGACATCCCGACGTGTCCTCAACGAAAGCACTGACCAACTCTCCCCCCACCGCCGAAGAACTGCTGAACTCGCCCCGATCCTCTCCCCCCCCCCGCCCCCCTTCCATGGGCTGTTGAGGGTGTTGGGGTGGTAATGCCTGTTCTCACACAGGGCAGGCGTCAATCAATCAGATGATGAAGTAGTACAGGTTGAGGCCAGGGACATGAGGCACAGGAAAGTTGTTGTGGGACATTTGCACACCGAGTTCCCGAACATTTCTCCTTTTCACTGCGACATCCCCAGTTCCTGTCCCGTTAGCAGCAGTCGCAGTACCAGGAGGAGGAGAAGGAGAAGGAGGAGGAGGAGAAGCACTAACAGCGCTGATTCTTGCCGGAGTCGTCGCAAATCGGACGCCGAGTTGTCGTCGTCAGTGAAACAGATCAGGGGCCTAGCAAGAAAAGTCATCGCACCGAAAGGGCCGTCGTCATTGCGATGGTTGATCTTATTGTCTTCATGATTTTTCTCTTTGTATTAATCATTTGTTACTTGTTGCGAGCCTCATGGAGATGGCGGCATTTGTATTTGCTAATCGTCGTCGTCCGTCGTCATGGTCGTTTCGTCGTAGTGGTGGTAGTAGTAGTAGTAGTAGTAGTAGTCGTTGTGGTAGTAGTAGTAGTACCAGCAGCAGCAGCGGTCGCAGGTACTAGAAGTAGCAGCAGCAGCAGCAGCAGAAGCTGCATATTCAACTTGGTCCTAGCCCCAGTAGTCTTAACATTGCAGTTGCTCTTCCCGAGGCTCCGATCCAAATAGATGATGACGATGCCGCCGAAGCTGCCGATGCTCCGCCTGCAGCGCCTCGTGAGAATGCACGGGGGTTCTTTACCCCGCTCCGGCTTTCGAAGTTAATGGTTTTGGGTTTGAGGCTTGGGGCCTGCAGATTTGAACTGGAGATGGCGGGTTCGATTGGGCAAGGCTTTGAAGTTTCGGATTGGCGAACATCCAGAAGCATGTTGAGACTGCAAGGTGCTGCATGTGCGAATGCTTGCCAAGGCACCGATGTCCTGAGCGAGGAGTCCGCATCACGTTCAGCTGGCCGGTTCTCGCAAAAAACGGAGAGACGGATGCACACGACACAGACCATTTACCTTTCAGGAGGCTTTATGAGAAAATTTCCGACACTGCAGCCTGTACCTAGACTGCTGATGCAGGTTCACAAAGCTGCTGCATGTCTACGCGACATGTTGCCACGTTTGGCTTAAGACCTTCGTCTTGGAGAGTGACAAACAGAAACTGGCAGCCTTGAACCCGAATACCTACTACTAACTACTACTAACCACTAACCACCACCACCACCGCCACGACCACTACGACTACTATTGCTGCTGCTGCTGCTGCTGCTACTACTACTACTACTACTACTACAACTGCTACTACTGCTACTACTGCCACTACCACTACCACCTCTACTACCACCTCCACTACCACTACCACTACC